CCGCACATCCATTAAGCTGAAATTCATTTACTAACCTAAAGGGAAAGAGAAGGATGGCAAAATATTTGCTTTTACTAACTGTTTTGTTAGGAGAGTTGGTGAAATAATAGCTTTGAAATAAGCAATAGTACACCGAAAAATAATTTACTCACTTCTGTTGATTAAGTCTGCATGATTTTCATGATGCTTTAACGTTGCTTTTGCAGATTTTTTGACACTTGAATGTCACCATATACCATATTTGTACACTCTTCAGTTAAAGGTTCTTTATTGGCATTCATGGTTTTTAAAAACTATGTTCTTTTAAAAACTGTTCACTGAAAGGTTTGAACCCAGAATGGTTCTTAAATTGCAATACTGTGAAAAAAACCCTCTTTTGAACTTTTATTGAATGTATGGGTCAGTAGACTTCGTCAATAGCCTCCTTTTGTGTTCCATGCAAGAAAGAAAGTCATACAGTTTTGAAACAACCTGAAGGTGAGTAAATAATGACAGAATTTTGGGTGAATTATTCCTTTAGGTTCTCATTTGATTTGGTAACTTTAATGAAATATTCAGGCTTCGTATAATGGCCTTCGTCACTCACGCTCTGTTTGGAAAAAAACAAATTTTGTTCAAACAAATCTCACTGTTGTCAACTGCTGTTTGAATTCTTAATCAAACCACTGTCCTCATGAGGGAGAGGAGAAACCAAATGTCCACCTCTGCTTCTGATTTAATGATGCTGCTTCGGCTGTTTCCAGACCCGCTGCTGATGCACATTATGTTCAGACCCAGACCTTGTCAATAGGACGAGACAAGGACCAAAGCATTACGAACAAAGGTTATCAAACGTTTCCTCAAGAAAAAGCCAGTTACAGGTCCTCTTCATTCATTTATTATCAGAGGAACGCTTTTTAGCTGAGGCACACAGAGCAAATCTCGTTTCCTCTTCATCCACTCGAGTTATACGTCTGCATTAGCTTCCATTATGATTATTATTCTGTAAAGCGACCACAGGGCCCAGAATGGGTCAGTGTTGACATAGTATACTGTATGTAGTCTCAAGGGGAAAGACAGAGAAAAGAACAAAAATGGCTTTATTCCTCATTAAAATGGTGGGAAGAGTAGTGCTGCTATGCTCTCTCAGACATTCTTTCTCTTTGAATTGGAAGGCTCTTGCTTGGCTTAGGTGTTGAGGTATTGTTTTAAAAAGAACACTTATTTGAGAAACAGAAAGGAACTTGTCTTTTTGCTGTTCTGAATTCGAGGCTAGGGGCACATTATCCTGTTCCGACCACAGTAAATCAATCTGTCCCATCCCATAAAAACAGAAGAGCACCCCTGACGGCAATTGTCTCTGAGAGCTTGTTGAGAGAGCAATAAATAGAAAAGTACAAGACAGAAATATACAACTGAAGATAAATATTGTTTGAATCTCTCTGTTGGTCTCTGTTTGTGAGCTGAGACAACTAGACAGGCCCCATGAAATCAAAATGGAAGTTTTGTAGCTTTTAGTCCACAACTGTTAGCTCTGAGGCAATTTGTTCTCCTGAAAGTTTAGGAAAATAGCTTTTAGCGGATGTAGCTAAAACGAAGCAGAAAGCATTTCTATATATGCTACCTTTTAAATGTTTTTAATATTTTTCGAAAGAAGTCTCTTATGCTCACCAAGGCTACATTTATTTGACCAAAATAAAGTAAAAAAAAAACATATTTATATTACAATTTAAAATGTCAGTTTTCTATTTTAATACATTTTAAAATGTAATTTATTTCTGTGATGGCAAAGCTGAATATTCAGCATTCATTACTCCAGTCTTCAATCATTCATAAATCATTCTAATATGCTGATTTGCTGATTAAAAACATTATTTATTTATTTTCACAGTTGAAAACAGTTTTGCTGCTTAATATTTTTGTGGAAACTGTTACATTTTAGTTTACTTAACATTAAAAAATATCGTTATATTCTCATTTTTTTATAAATTTAATGTATGCTTGTTTAATTATCGTAATAATTTCTTTAAAAAAATATCTTACACCAAACTTTTGAAAAGTAGTTTAAATCATTCATAAATACATAAAATATACCTGAAAAGATGAATGTGACGATCTCCATTAAGGATGTTTTACAAATGATTTACACAAATTCTGCATGATTATGTTTCCCGATTAAGGAAACTTCCAGGAATTTCTCTTCTATGAAAACATAATAGCCGCTTTTCCACTATTGGGCCGAACGGTTCTAAGAACTGTCAGGTATGGTTCCAGTTGCATTTCCACGTTAGCCTGGTACGGCGCGGCACAATTACAAACAGTTCTTGGCACGGAATTCTCGCCCGTGCTGGTAGAGTGCGTGTGCGTGACGTCGCCACTCTGTTGCCTGGCTATCAGTTTCTCCATAGCTGACTAAGCGGAAGCGTGCTATTTGATCAAACAGCTACGCTACGTTCAATATAAAAAAGAAAAAATGTCAGACAGTTTGGTCGGTGGAGGAAACATTTGCACTTATTGATATTATACCCATCGTCGCCTACCATTTATTTTATTTTTCGCGTCAAGATTTGTGTCCTTTTTTCTGTTATTTAACGAAGTAAATATCAGATAAAAAAGGAGTCCCAAAAACAGAAATATCTGATCATCATCCATATCGCTGTTTACATTACACTTGCGTTAACTAGGCAATGACTGACACATTTGTATTACATTCCAAAGAGCTCCGTTATCAGCACCACAGTGGAAAATGAAACCGGATCCGTGCTGACTGGCCTGGATCGGCACGGAATGGAACGGTTAAGCAAAGAGAACCGTTTGGCCCAATAGTGGAAATGTTCTATAGCGGCTAATGTTCTTACCATAATAAAACCTACCTCTGATTAGCAATAGTAAAGCAAATTCAAAGAAGGGACAAGCATTTTGATGTGTTCTAACAATAACTACAGTGAACAAAACTTGTGTTGCTAGCATTATGATAACTGTACTAGTCGTCATTTGTAGTTGGTCTAAAACGAGATACCATAAATAAGACAAAGAATTTAATTCATGTGGACAGACTGAGAGGGAAAGTGAGGACAGAGTATGTGTGCGTGTGTTGTTAGGGGTATCTTCCTTCTCTATCTTAATGGAGAGCTGATTGTTCGGAAGTGAACCTCCTCTGAAACTCGCCTCATTAACCTGCCAGGTGGTGGAAGACACCAAGCTCTGATTGAACTGCGGCCAGGACAGCTGCTTTGAAGACCACAAGAGACTAGACAGAGAGAGAGAGAGAGAGAGAGAGAAAAAGGGAAGCATAAAGCATCTGAAATACTGCATGTACTCTGTTGCAACCTTTTTACGTAAACCAACAAATATTGCATTGATCATACAGAGCAACCCTGGTTCATAATGTATGAAATGGAGCATGTCCCAGAAAAGCTGGTATTTCTAATGCTGCAGGAATTTAATTGTCTTTCAGTCCTTTCAATAGTCTGTTGTAGAGCTGTTCAAACAAGACACAACAGCACACTAGCTCTCTCTCTCTCTCGAGTGCAGCCGGAGATCGATTTGAGCAGATTTCTTATGGATGTGGAAGGCCACAGTTGTTTTGAATCCGAGACCCTTGGCTCGCTTTTACTTTTCCTATTATAGTGACCTCGCAACTGGCATTGTATACGCAGCGTGGAGCTGTTGTTGATTGTGCGACCATGTTTTCAAGAAACGGAGAGATTCTGGGAAGGTGTGTCATCCTTCACCACGGCCGTTCCAAACACAAACAGATAACAGAAGTGAGGTCTAGGTGCTGACTGGACAAACGCCCGGGTCTGACACTTCACTTTTTGTTTGTGTTTGCGAGCGGCCATCTTAGTGATTCATACGTGTGTACGATAGAAGTAAGAGGCTGTTGACGATATCACATTTACACACGTCCTCCTTGTTTGGATGCATCCTACGTCCCTGGGGACATTTTTGCGGAGTGTCCTCACGCATGTCCTGTCTCTCTCCTTCTTTACAGGCGTTTTGTCCTTAGAGTCGACGGCTTTCTCTCCTTTCTCCATATCCACTTCATGTGTTCCCCTTTCGATATTTTTGTGTTTTCTTCGTTCCCATTCCTTCAAATTTTAGTCTTAGTCACCACTGTTATTATTTTTGCAGTCCAGTCGCCAGCTGGTTTCCATCAAGCCCAATCAGTGCCTTCAAAGCTGTTCTGCACATTTCAGGAGCAACAAAGTCAGAACACATTTCCTCAATGCCCTGCTTGGCTAATGGGGCTCGCACTGTTTGCACGTTACCGACTTCACTCGATCCGTATTTGAAAGAATGGAGAAACACCCCAGATCACGCAGCTTTAATCTAAGCTGGCCATGTGACCGTGAGAACCCTCATTAACATGTGCATATGCTTATCGACATCAGCTTTGTGTATTAACTTGATACGTACTGTAATTCTACGTTTTTAAGTTGTTGTATGGCCAGAAACGGTTATTGGGTTTGCAATTACACGGTTGCAAGCTCACAGGCACTTAGAGACACACACTTTGTTTATTTTCTACAAAAACATGCGATTCTTTCATGTGCCTCACTCCGAAGTTCACATGTGCGGCGCAGCTGTGGATGTGTTTGTTTGCGAAAGCTCTACATTAACCTTCCTTCCACCTCTCTTTGACCTGACTGAAAACGATTCAGTGTAATTGTTTGATGAATCCTGATAACTTTCGATTGATCTACAGTATGGCGTTGACAGTTCGGCAGAAAACACGCCACTAATGTGTCTGGGCTGTCAGTGTTTATTTGAAAATATTGCTGGCCTTTTACGCTTTGTTGCTGTAGTAAGTGATACATATGGAGGATATTCATTAGTTTAAAAATCAGATCAGTTTTTGCTTTCAGGTGATATTCAAAATTCCAATAAAATCCAAAATGTGGATTAATTAACAGATGCACTGCAAATGGGGGGTAATGCGTCTTCATTAGTATGTGCATACATTCAAATATCTTGCTTTATTGAAAGTTGAAACTCTTTTTATTTGTGTGTGTTTACAGGATGCTGGAATACTCTCTCAACCTGCAGAATGTTAGTTTCTCTGCGGTCCGAACGGTCCGAGTACTTCGACCTCTTCGGGCTATCAACCGAGTGCCCAGTGAGTACAATATCAGCAACCATTTTCCAAATGCACTTGCTAACATTAGTTAGCTACATTAATTTACATTAAAAAAAAAAAAACATTAAAAAAACAATATTGTTAATATTATTTAATAGGCCTGACCTAACACGAACTAACAATGAACGGTTGTATTTTAATGCACTTGCTAACATTAGTTAGCTACATTAATTTACATTAAAAAAAAAAACATTAAAAAAACAATATTGTTAATATTATTTAATAGGCCTGACCTAACACGAACTAACAATGAATGGTTGTATTTTTATTAACTAATTTTTAACAAATATTAATAAATACAGTAACAAATTTATTTCTCATTGTTAGTAGTGTTAGCTAAAGCAATACGTAATGCTAATTGAATGGAATCTTATTATAAAGTGTCACAGACATTCCTGCATGAATCAGTTTTTTTAAACAAATTGGTTTGTTTAAAAATGATAGTAAATGATTCAGTGAGTCACTCAAAGGCAGTCATTTGTGTTGTTCTTGAATGAATTGGCTAAATTAATGGTTCTGTAATTAACCCTATAATTAAGACCATAATTGTTGCCGCCACCTGATGTAAATTTGTAACTTGCAGAATGATTCAACAGTCTTGTTTGGAAAGTGCAAAACATGCACAGTAATTCACAGTAATAAAACAAAGCAGTGTGCACAGTAATAAAAGTTTCTTTTTATATTATATTGAGATTTATTGCTTGTGTTTTTGTACGTTAGTAAGGATTTTGGAATCTTATGTTCACCCCAAATAATCACTTTTTTTTTAAAGATTGAATGTTTAAGTAAGGTACATTTCTACCAGTTTCTGCTGTAGAAAATAGGAACTCAGAACTTAATTCAGTTTATTAATTCCCTGCATTCAATCATAGAGTTTATTAAATTCAGAATGTTCTATGTTGAATTACATTATTTAAGCACTGTGGTCAATTAATGCAATTTAATCAACATTTGAATGAGAAATGTATCCTGGGCTCAGTCATATACTGTACCAGAGGAGTTAATACTTTAGATTTATAGATCATTTTCCTCTTCAGTGCTTTTAACGGCTACTCTCTTTTCTCACACACACACACACACTAAGAAAGAATAATAGGGACTGTCTCTCTCTCTCTCTCTCTCTCTCTCACACACACACACACACACACATACACACACTAAGAAAGAATAATGGGGACTGTTGTACACACACACCGTTCGATTATGCTAATGAGCTTGATTGTGATTGGTCAGGGATCTGTACGCTCAGTTTTTGCGAGAGATGATCATTCAGCCGGGAATCGCTAAGGCAAACCTGGGTGTGTCTCGAGAGGATGTGACTCTGGAGGATCACGTGAGTCTGAGCACATCACAACAAACGAAACACTGAAGAACAGTCCAAGAGAGAAGACTGCAGCCTTAATCCTGACTCTTGTGATGTTCTTCTCTTGTCTCAGCCTCTGAATCCGAACCCGGACAGTCAGTGGAACACCTACTTCAAAGACAACGAAGTTCTGCTGCAGC